TCTATGATCCCACAAGAATCAAGAGTAATAGAGTGGAGAAAAAAATGATACATTCTAAGTTCAATCACTCTTTACAAATACCATTTGTGCACAGATATACAGATTTAGTTTGAAGGTTTAAAAAATAAAGATTTCAGTTATCAATAAATTAGAAATATGCCTAATATTGTTTTAAAGTGTCATTCATCAAGAGGTGGCTATTACACCAAAGTGGCTCAGTGAGAAACGCGTTTGCCGTTCGAAGTGAAGGGTATTGGGTGGGAACAACATCACGCACTGGTATGCGAGTACACATCCAGCTAACGAGTTCCAACTAGGATGAGATGCGCTTCCTAGATTCCTCTGCTAGTCACTAAGATCAATAAGTCCCTCATCAAAATGAATATTTTGAGGCAAAATTTAAATAAATCTCTTAGTTGGGCTGATAACCATGAGGTTACCGTTCTATTCACGGGTAAAAACGACATGAAATCCTATCAGTTTGCACACTAGCTGTTTACTTAATCCTTGTTAGACCAAGAAGAAGTCCTGCATGCACATGGTGCACAAACCAATGAACGAAGTTCTGAAATGTTACTCAGTTATCAGGACTATTTATTGAATTCTCTTTGATCAGAATCACGACACTAGCATCTCCTGGAATAGGCGGTATGACGAGGTACACAGTTATAAGTTTTTTATCAACATAAAGTTTGAACAAAAATAAGATGAGTTAGGAGATTTGAATATTATGTAGAAGTCAAATTAATGAACAAAGTAAAAGTGGCCAATTACAATTTAGTATAAAAATTAATTGCTTTAGTAAGGAATACATGAGTATTGAGAATATTTGAAACTTAAGAGTATGCTGTTTGACACTTGAAAACTCCCAGCTTGATATTGAATCAAATTACACAACCTCGGTTGGCAAATAGGCTCCTAAGCGAATGCGTCAGTACTGCCTTATAATTTATTTTATTGTCTACTTTGTGACTAGCATTTCATTTTATCTGGGACTCGCTAGCTGCTAACAAAAGTCAAACAATTCGACCTAGCATGCCAACGGGAAATTATGATTATCAAAAAACCACAAAATCCCAAATGCACAACATTTGGCTCTCCGTACCCCACAGGCATATTGAATAACGTCTTGGCGTTCGAAGTGATGTGTACTGCGTCAGAGTCAGTAGCAACAACATCATTCATTAGGGTGTAGAAGCATCCAGAGGAAGAGTCTCAAATGGGAGGAGATGTGCGTCCTGCATTCACTATACCATTCACTTGCTTTGCATTCGCCTAACTTCAACATGGCTTACACTGTGATTCCACAATAAGTGAGCAGTGTTAAGAAGGCATATGTGGTCGAAATCCCGTACTCCTTTCATATCTCCCACTTTCTACGACTGTTTTATAGGACAGCAGTATATTTTACTTATCCTCTGATAAATAGTGTGTCATCTAGCAGGCACTGGAGACAGGATAAGTCGGCAAATGCTAAACGCTTTCTTTTTGTATTCGACCTGAGATCTTATCAACAACTAATGACTCATTATCTTACACAGTGCAATTTAATTTATACCAATAATTTCGTTCTCATCATCCATACTTATGATTAAAACCATTGGTACCGTTAGTGTAAGATTTATTTCTTGAGTATGATGCTTTTCATCGAGTCAGTATAGTAGACGCTGCTGATCAGGATGGATCTAAGTAGTATATGTCAAGAGGGTGGCAGAAACCATAAGCAATTACCAGTAATGGGTAAAGATTCTGGTCAGAGAAACTCAAGAGACAATGTGGGCGTATTAAGAGTGAATTAAGATAGAAGCAGAAAAGGAAATGAAGCATATTGTGTAAATGACAGTCTTAGTGGAAAGTGTACAATGTCTCATCAGTATGGAACAATAAGTCAATAATAAACATCCCCTCTTTCATATTCGTCTTGTCGTTTTCTACATCAGTAACAATATGATGTCATTTATGATTTGAATGATTCTTATACTGAATTGGTTGAAATACGGTTCATCTGAGGTTAGAACTGATGATCTTGTCTCGAAGTATATGCAATTTACCAATTTAACTCATGGAACACAACACTTCTGAAAAAGAAGTTAGAGAATTAAGCGCTACATTCATGTAATTTTATAATTATCCATTCGCACTAGCCTATGTACAGTCGTAAATGATACACCCTTATTTTCTTTACCTGCATAACTAATAGAAGTGAATGAATGTCTAGGAAAGGTACAAACGGTTGAAGTAGGCTAGGATATACGTCCATTTTAAGCTTTCATTTTCATCTAAACTTTTAAGAGTGAAAAAAACATTGGTTAGTGTAGAAACCAATTCAATAGCTAAGTTATTCAAAAAAATAGCGCCAATATGAAAATTTCTTGTGATTGAAATAAAAAAGTTTCAAGCATTCCTGTTTTAGTCTGTCTGTCTGTCTGTCTGTCTCTCTCTCTCTCTCTCTCTATATATATATATATATATATATATATATGTATATATATATATATATATATATATATATATATATATATATTAACGTATATGATAGCCATTTTTTACTACCTATTAGTATGTCTAAGTCATGATAACATTGAAATCTAACACCTATAAACAAAGTAAAACTTTCCTCTGTAGATACTAAAATTGCGCAAATTATACAAAGATAGTTACATTTTTTTAATGAGAGAATGAATTTGAAATCATAAAGATGTATACCTCGGTGATTAATTTTTTTATGACTTTGTCTAAACAACTTGGTTGTCAGTTTTATGACATCAATAAAACCAGACGATTTAGGTATTCATGCTATTTTTAATCTAAAAATCTGATGAGTTCCACAATTAGATAAAAACAGCTATCTGATTTATGAAAAGAGTTTTATTAATAATCACCTGTAAAATTGTTGAAAAATTCTCATCTAATCATTTTTTTCTCATTGGCCCAATTAGTCCACTTTCAAGAAATAGGTTCTAGAGTTGAAATCGATCTTCACCTGGTACGACCATATCAATTGAGTAGTATCATTCACCGCCTCCAAATAAATGTGCTTATTGGTATTCAGTTACGCTGGACAAAGAAGTGACGAAGAGTGCACGGAAAGACAAAAGACACTTCTACGACACATTGGCAAGCGAAGCAGAACAGGCTGCAGATAGAAGAGACCTGATAACATTGTATCAAATAATCAGGTAACTATCCTGGAAGAGATCAACTCAGACGAAACCAATCAAAGATAGTAAAGGAAAGCTAGATACCAAAGAGAAGAAACAAAGGAAACAATGGGATGACAACTTCAAAAAACTTTTCAATCGACCATCATCACCACCTGCAACTCATCCGGAAATGCCAACAGCCGCTCAGCCACATAACTATCAGTGAACACAGGCCCTCCAACAAATGCAGAAGTCCCGAATGCCATAAAACTGCTGAAATCCGGGAAAGCAGCAGGATTAGATGGAATTCCACCAGGAGCACTGAAAACAGAAGCAGAGACATCAGCGGACATGTGCACACCACTACTGCGGAAGTTATAGAAGGAAGGAAGGAAAGGTATCTGCCCATTGATTGGAAGAAGGGCTAACTTGTCAAACTCCCAAAGAAGGGAGACATAAGCCTTTGCAAGAACCGGGGAGAAATCATGCTGCTGTCCACCCTAAGCAAAATATTATGTTGCGTCATCCTGGAGAGACTAAGGGATGCGCTGGATTCAAAATTACGAAGAACAAATCATGTGCTACGCATCATCATAGAACAGAATATTGAATGGCAGTCAACTCTCCATCCCAATTTTATCGACTCTGAAAAGTCGTTCGACAGCATCGACTGAGAAGTAATTTGGCAGTTACTTCAACACTATGGAGTGCCACAAAGAACCTATCATCCAACAAATATGCAGAAGAAAGTGGAGATGGATTGGATACACACTGAGAAGGCCGACTGGGGACATCACGCGTCAGGCCAGGCCCTCAGGTGGAACCCAGATGAGAAACGGCAAGTTGGGCATTCGAGGTGAGGGTGACATGGAGAAGATCGTGTGTGGAAGAGCTTCTGGGCAGCCGTAGAGTCAGGTTCAAAAGACTGCAGAGAACAAAGTGGAACGGAGACTTGCTACTGAATCCCTATATTCCACTAGGAACCCAAGGGATAAATAATAATAATAATAATGGATATAAGTTGATACAGTATTTTCACAAACCACGATCGAATCAGTTATGTCTAGAAATTCACTTGTCGCACACAGTCATGTCTCATTAAAACTAGGGGATAAATCGTCTACAACATCTGTGGATACCACTAGTAGGGATTTATATCGGTAATAAATCGTTAAAAGTAGAAGATAAGAAGCGCTTACAAGTTATCGATCACACTTGTCTTTTATAGTATTATTGACTTATGTCAATGTTAGTTGAGGGGAACTAGGCAATACAGTCAGGTCGATTAAGGTGACATGAACATGTGTTGCGCATGTGTAGCCACCCATTTCCTTAAATGTGAGAAGTTATGAGAAGTTGGATTACGTTAGAAGTGGGCTCAGGGTGGCTAGATTAAGATGTGATACGAATTAGTGAAGTCACTATTTCTTGTTCTGGGCAGCATGGAGAGCTTTTGACTACCTAGCTGGGATCGTAAATGGCTGGTGACCCTCGATGACATGGCTGAAAATCGGAAACAATGGTGTGGGTGTATTCCTTCTCCAAAGTTTTTCAAAGCTAGAACATTTTCAGTAAACTTCCTTGTCAAGTCTCTTCCTTTTATACTTTAGTATTAGTCTTTCCTATCCGATTGTTCTTCCAATACTACTGTGAATTGTGACAACTTGAGTTGATGCATTAAAGTATGAAGTTCCGCGTTGATTTCACCTGTCTGTCTTTCTTTTAATAGGCTTACTATCCTTTTTCCTAAGAACATAACATTTGTTATTTATGTCAGTGTTCTTAAAAATCATCTACAGCAATTTCTTCAAATGGCTAATTTTCACTTTTATTTTCAACTAAAAACTTAATACACAGGTGAAGATATGGTTTCAAAATCGACGTTACAAGTTGAAAAGACAAGTTCAAGATAAAAACTTAGAAGAAGCCAGTGTATTACACCATCATTTACACAATTACTCATTGCCATTTCTACAACAATCGAGAGAAATGTGTAATCATAGTGTTTCTATTGCAAATTCACCATACTTGCACAATGATATTATCAGTCGACCAGATTATGTTCGCCATGAAACTGAAGATTTTAAACAACATTTTCATAAACTGAATACATATCAGTGGGCGAATATATTTACACAAACGTATAATAAATATAACATCAACAGAAATGATGATTACATCGACAGTTACAATTCAAGGAATACTTCAAACACTTCTACTTTGAACGTTTCTACTATCTTCAATGAAGAAAAGTCTTTTAAACGTCTTCCAATTACCAACCCATTATCTTCACTATCTAGTTACTCTGATTCAAAGTTACTCCCTGGTCACTTCAATGCGGAGAATATCACAGAGTTAGGTCGTCCAGTGCATCAGGTTGAATCAACCTCATCTCAGTCGTTTTCCTTTCATCAAACACCCGATACAACACATGAATCCAAATTGCTAGCAACAGATAATGATCAACATTCTACTTATCATAATCCAATATTATCTCATTTTCAGTATACTAATGAAGAAAATAAAGTGGTTACTGAAGATAATCACAACAGTAATTATCAGTCTATTCACCCCTTTCCTAATTATCATGCTCAGAATGAACTGGCGGGTAATTTAAATTTTAATCCTACATTGAACATTGAAACTTCCCAATCAAACTTGTCACTTCCAGTATTAAAGACTCTTCAAAATCATCCGACAAATTTTTGCACATCTGATATGTATGATAATTGTTATCTTATACGAAAGAGACTAAAAACTTCACCATCATCTTCACAAATAACATCAGCAATAGTAACGACTACACCACTGACATTATTCTCTTCGACAGCAGCAATTGCAGCTGCAGCAGCTGCTGTAGCTGTAGCAGAATCAGTCAACCCCTTAGACAGACACATGAATTCAAAACAATCATCGTTGAAAACCAACTGGCTATCAAATAATGCTTTGTCTTCTTCAAATCTACCCAACTCTTTCAATGAGCTAATTATATCAACCAGCGGAAATCATTCTTGGACAAACGAGACTGGAAAAATTTCAAACCTATCACCAGTGAAAAATAGTGGAAAAATGGACGAATTTCAATCATTTCCTTATTGTATGAATAAGTTTGATATAGAATATCAAACAGTATTGAATGTGGCAAAGGCTGCATTTCAGCGTGAAAATATTCTGAACCGAAGTAAATCTCCATTACCAAATGAAGGTAAATTAATTGAAAGGTGTAATATTGATGTGAAACAAATAGATGACGACCAAATTGAGATAAATAAAGAGTTAAATAATCACCATCAAGAATATCAACAGAATCTTCGTCATACAGTTAGTACATTTGATTTAAACTGGTCAAACAACAATATGTTGAATAAATCTAAAACTATGATCACTGATCAAACTGATAATTGTTCTTATAATTCATATTCAAACTTCCCGCCTTATTCAACTATACAAACAACTGACATGTCAAACCATATTGACTGATTTCTGCTTTTATTGTTTTGACCAATGGAAAAACTTCTCATATTGTACACCTTTAATTCACAAATCAGTTAATAGTAATAGTATATTGAAAGTTTTCCTAAAATCTAACACTAATACTGCTACAACTATTATCACTTCTCTTCTTGACTTTTTGTTCAATTAGTAACTTATGAAAAATATCTTCATTTAACGGTTACATATGTTATTATGTGAAAATTTAAACGTTGTACACAGAATATTTGAAGTTGCCTCACTCAGTTCATTGTTTTAAACAAAAATCAATATGAATTTAACACCTTTATGATAAAGAAAACAACTATTTTTAAGCACATGAAATGTTTTACTTCTCTTTATATTGTTGTTTTGTTAAATTATCAGTGTTAATAAAGTTTTATTGTTTTTTTTAGTTGCATCTTTGTTCTTACTACTAATTTCTGTTATTAGTAGTATCGATATTTTTTGAAAAAAACCAAACATTTTTTATTGTATTATTTTAAAACATAATTTTTTGCTTCCTTAATGATTTTGTTTTTATTATTCAGTGTTACATTGAGGAACATTTCTTCTTGAAATAAGACATTCAGGCTACATGTTCAGGCACTTTAAAGTCTGCTAGAAATCTTTTGGGTAGATTACAATTGGTCAGGAAAGTGATTTCCTTTGACTATATCGACATTAGGCATGAATGTAGTTCAAGTCATTGTACAAGAACGTCATTTAAATTATATTACATGGTCACTTCATCTTTGTAAATGGGGATAGATACTTGTGCTTCAGGATCAAGATGTTCAGATTGAGTGATTCTCTGAATTGGAGTTTTGGTTGATAAATGTTTCAGTGTTTTATTCTAGACATGACCATCTGTGTATCAGCGCCTGGTTTTCATAAGTTATTCAACTACATTCAACTCTGGAATCCCTTCAACTTCCTTCCTAATGGAAGCATCATTTTCAGCACTGTAATTCTAGAGTTGAATGAAATATTCAAAGAATTCACTGGTTGTTTCTACATTATCTCGAAGTATGGGAACATTCTACGTGTAATTTTTGTGAGAGCTAGATGGTAGGTTATTTTTTATCTTGTTCTCCATCTAAAAAATGTGCATTGATAGCTATCAAGCTAAGCATACCAGTATTTGCTTCACTAATCATCGTTGGAGTGAAATGCACATTCTTCATAGCTATGCAGACTAAAGCAGTAGGGCTAGAATTTGAGTGGGAATGAACCTGCGTATTTTTGTGCACAAATTCATCACCTGCAGATAACTCATGAATAAGAAAATGGTTCTTTTTTTGTAGTCCTGGTATTGTTTGATGCAACGTGCAGTAATAATGCGATCGAGGACTGAGACTCTTTGGAATATAACAGACTCCATAAAATTCAACAACAATATATAATCACGGAAGTCGGAAAAATTACACTTACCTCATTTCTGTTGGTCTACATTGTGGTGAACCGTAATTCAGCTTACACCATTAGCCCTTCTATTTCACTAAAAGTATTTCTTGACTTTGGGTTCTGTTTTCGTTTTGGCACCAGAAGTGCTATTTTCGAAATCGAATTATTATTATTATTATTATTTGTCCCTTGGCTTCTGTAGCACGTCTCCAGTCAACTCTGTTCTCTGAAATCTTTTGGACCTGGTTCCACGACAGCCCAGAAGCTCTCATTTCCTCCTCCATGTCACCCTCAACCTCGAACGCCCAACTTGTCATTTCCCCTTTCGATTCCACTCGAGTATCCACTCGAGTATCTGGCCTGATGCGTGATGTCCCCAGTCGATCTTCTCAGTGTATGCTCAATCCATGTCCACTATCTTCTTCTGTAAATTTTTTGAGCGATAGGTTCTTGGTTGGTTCGCCACCTGCCAACCAGAGTTCCTTTTTGCTTATTCTGACTATTCTGGCCATCTGATCTTCAGTATTGAGCGTAAGCAGTTGTTGATGAATGTCTGTAGTTTGTTGGAAATCCCTTTCGTAACGCGCTAAGTCTCTAAGCCATACAGAAGCACTGAGTTGACGTTGATGTTGGAAATCCGGATCTTGTTCCACATGCTGAGTGCAGAAGATCTCCATACAGATTTCAGGCTAATGAACGCCTGTCTTTTTGTCTTTCCGATCCTGGCTTTGACGTCCTCGTCTGTGCCACCACTGCCTGTAGTTGAAACAGTGCTACCCAGATAGGTGAAGGAGGCTGCCTCCTTTAGGTTTCTCCGTTGATAGTGATAAGAGTTTCTTGTTGTTGTTGATGTTGTTGGTTGGGTATCTTCATCACCTCTGTCTTCTCTATATTCACTTGAAGTCCCGTCTTCCTTCGCTGCCTCACCTCTTCTGTCAACTTGTTAGTTTTCGCCTGTAGATCTTCAAGTTTGTGCCACAAGACACTAGATACAAGTCATCGGTGAAATCCAAATCTTCTAGGTTCTTTTCCGCGGTCCAGCGTATCCCCCTCTTCTCACAGCTCGTCACTGTTTGTTGATGATCCAGTCCACTACAATCAGGAATACCATGGGTGATAGTAGACAGCCTTGTTTTACTCCTGTCTTCACTTCACCCAAAAGGCATCACTGAGCTTCCCACCGTGAATTACTTGGCATGTGGCGTCTTCATATAGTTGTTCAATGAGATTCATAAAGGTTTGAGGGACTCCGTAGTGTTGAAGCAACTGCCAAAATACTTCCCGGTCAACGCTGTCGAATGCCTTTTCAAAGTGGATGAAGTTGAGGTAGAGGGTTGACTGCCATTCTATACTCTCTTCTATGATTATGCTTAGCGTAGCGTTGCAATTTGACCCGCACATGATTTGTACTTCCTGAATTCAGCCTGTTCCGATCGTAGTTTTGAATCCAGTGTATCCTTTAGCCTCTCTAGGATGATGCGGCATATTTTGCTTGGGGTGGACAGGAGTTAAGCATGATTCCGCACCAGTTCCTGTTCTTGCAAAGACTAAGATCGCCTTTCTTTGGGAGTTTGACAACTTAACCTTTCTTCCAATCGATTGGTAGATACCTTCCCTTCCTTTCATACCTTCTGCAATAGTGGTGTGAGTATGTCCGCTGTTGTCTCTGCGTCTGTTTTCAGTGCTTCTGGTCGGGTTCCATCTGGTCCTGCTGCTTTCCCGCATTTCAGTTGCTTTATGGCACTCGGGACTTCGACTTTTGTTGGAGGATTTGTGTTCACTTGTAGTTCTGTGGCTGAGCTGCAGGTGGTATTTCTGGACGAAGTGCAGGTGGTGGTCGATTCAAGAGCTTCGTGAAGTGCTCAGCCCATCGTTTCCTTTGTTTCTCTTCTTTCGTAATTAAATTTCCTTCATCGTCTTTTATTGGTTTCATCTGTGTTGATCTCTTCCCTCCCAATAGTAACCTGGTGATTTGATATAATATTGTCAGGTCTCTCCTACCTGCAGCCTGTTCTGCTTCACTTGCCAGTGTGTCGTAGAAGTGTCTTTTGTATTTCCGAGCACTCTTCTCCACTTCTTTGTCCAGTGCAGTGTTGCATAGGCTGTATTCAGTTCCTCTTCTCGTTGAGCATCCTTGCACTGGTTTATCTTCTGCTTCACTATCACCATCATCCTCTCCCTGCTCCATCAGCTTCCATGTGTCTATCGAGATCCATTCCTTATCCTCTTTCTTCTTCCTTCCTTCCTAATTACATTATGCAGGTTTCTTTCCACATAGCTTTCAAAGAGTTCCAGTGCTCATCCACACAGGTGTCTTCAGGAATGCTGCTCAATATCTCCCACTTTGTCTTGATGGCTGACGTGAAGATTTCCCTAGTAGTTTCATCCTTCAGTTTCTGAGTGTTGAACTTGAACTGTGGTCTATCACCAACTTCCTTGTAGGTTTTCAACTTGATTCGGTAGGTTCCTTGCTCTAGATGGTGGTCTGAGCCTACATCCGCTCCTCTTCTTGAATTTGTGTCAAGTAGACTGCGTCTCCACTTTCTTGAGATTGAGATGAAGTCGATCTGGTCTTTAGTGTGTCCGTTGTCTTGTGAAATCCATGTCGCTTTGTGGATATCATTGTGCTTGAACACACTGCCTCACTGCAATCACCAAATCGTCGATGCATAGAATTCTGCAAACAATTCTCCATTCTCGTTCATCACCTCACCGAGTGCTTCTCAGCCCATGGTTAGTTCTCTTCCTGTGTTGTCCCCTCCCAGCTTGGCATTCATGTCACCCATTGGAATTTTGATGTCACCAGCTGGGGTCTTATCCAGTGCTGATTGCAGTTATCTGTAGAATTCCTCCTTCTTCTCTTCATCTTCATTATTTGTAGGTGCACAACGTAGCATTGTACGAATGTGACTCTCCTTCCGTTTTGAGTTGAATTCATCTTGCTGTCATGATCCTGGAGGAGGAGATTGCTTCCCACTGTTTGAGAGCCTTCGATGCTGTTGGGGACATCATGATCGCCACTCTTTCCGTGTGTTCGTGGTTGTCGTCTGGGTGACAGTATCAGAGTAGATTATTGACTGTGCAGTTGACAGTTTGGAGAGTCCACTTCCATTCCATCTGCTTATCCCTCTCAAATTCCCAACACTTCAATGTGATACCTTCTCATCTTTTCCGCAGTCTGGGCAGCCTTGGTAGGTTCAAACATTGTGCGAGCATTCCATGTCTCCATGTTTACTTTCGCTCTCATCGAGAGAAGACACATCGGCTAATTGGCTTCTCGAAGGCTCTTCATTTTTTATATTTTGTTTGTGCTGTGAAGTTTCTTTAGCGGTTGGATTTGTTTTCCGGTGTAGGGCTGCTAGCCCTATGCCTGACCTTCTCTGTTTACCCGGGCTTAGGACGGGCTAGTAACTAGTGAACTAGTTAACCAGGCGAGGTTATTTTCGAAATCGAACTATAAACTAATATTTACGCATAGTTTCCCCTAGATCTCATAAACACAGAGAAGAAACAAGACCTGTAATTCCTAGCAATATATAAGGTTCAGTTAAACAATTTACAGGGAGTTCCAAAAAAAGCCGATCCAACAAGGTGAATGATTAAGCACAGTCGCACATTCTTTACAATAAGATAGTCACAGTAGGAAATACGTAGCAGTAGTCGAAGGATAAGGCATAGGACTAGGATGTTATTCAGAGTATACCAGAGAACAAGAATAACCACTGAGGATATCGCTATGCATGGAAGGACTGTTTATGACCTGACCAGAGACCACTCAATAATTCAAGTATGCATCACATGTCTGCGTAAGATTTCAAACATCTAAAGATTCCCATAACAACAACAGCAACAATCTGAAAGCAAAATATCTTTCTCAAGAAATTCTCACCAGGTTGTACAATAATAAAATGTATTCGCAAGGTGTAAAAACAAGCCATTTTAGGGGCATATACGTGTTCTTATGCAGAAAGGATAATGGATTGCAAAGAAAATCGGTTTTTCTTCAATAAATGTCAATATTACGATGACGAGTATCCAGATGACTAATGTAATGGTGGACGAAAAGACAGCGAATAAAGAAGACAGTAGTGAACTTCCGTCTACTGAAGACCTAGGAAGGAATATCGTTTGGACAAGATGTTTCTGAATGTACAGTGCAAGTCGGATCAACCTTATTGGCGGCACCCTCAGCTATACTGAG